GAAGTATTTACGCCTGCATCTTGCAACGCTTTGTCTGCGGAGAAGTCCACAGGCGAGCCGGGCTTGAGCGTCGTGGCCTCCTCCGGTAAGGATTCTCCGAAGATGACTGAGAGGGTATCTTCATCGAGGCCAATCAGGTCCCGAATAACCCGTCGCGTTATCCGTTGCCAAAAAGAGAGAATCTCGGTGCCTTCTTCGGATGACTCACTCTGGGCATCTGATACAGATCGGGCTGTTTGTGGTGCCGTGCTCGTCGAGTCCTGGTGCATGCTATCTGCTCGATTCCGCGTAGCACTAACCATGCTCATCCGTCTTCTCCGCCTTGTCTCCTTCTCAATCTCCTCCAAGAGCGCCTTGCTCTGCTCCAGCCGCCACTTCTCTATGCGCTGACGTTTCTCTTGCTCGTTGTTCACCTCCTCAGTATCGTCGAGTCGAGTAAAGTGGCGCTGTAAGCTGGACCGCCGCCTCGCGACTCGTCTCCGTGGTCGCTCGAACTGCCACATGTGCTCTTCCATGGTCGCATGTGGTTCGAACTCGCCCAGTCCATCGTGGGTGGGTAGCACGGTATCCCCGCTTTCCTGTAACCTCCTCGTCGGCGCCCCGTACTCGGATGGTTCGTGGAAAGCATGCAGACCATCGTCCAGGCTGTCCAGCTCGGCCTCTGTGCCAAGAAAGGTGCCGGCATCGTCATCTTGGTCTGACTGAGCGGCAGTGTCGAGTGAGCCGAACTCACTGAAGCGCGACAGGCCAGCTGTGCGCGGTGTTCGTTCGGTCGAGGTGGTGTGTGTACGCGTGGTAGCGGAGGGCGCGATGGGCGAGAAGAGAACCCATTCCTCGGATTGGTCGAGGGGTCTCTGTAGCTGCAGTGACGTGGTTGTGGCTTCGGCGGCGGGCTCTGGGGCATGGTAGGGGGTTTGTCGCGAGCTTTGTGGTCGGTGTTGTTGGATGAAAGCCATGCTGTGGTAGTTCACGATCGGTGTTGCGATATAGGCAGTGACGATGAAGGAGTCGCGTCCTCACAGATACAGAGACACGGCGCGAGGATGTCGGACAGATACGGAAGGGAAATGCGAATACGCGACAAAGATGCCGAGAGGTTCGGAAAGAGAATATGATAAGTTGGTAGGATAATGTGATGGCGTCGCAGTAACGGGGGCGGCTCTCTTATCGTCGCGTTGGCCTCATGCCTCGTGGCAGCGCCGTCAATCCCCTAGCGGTGTGAGGGGAGGGCAGGTGTATGATGTACAGATGTCGCTAGGAATGCGCTAAATCGAAACAAGCCGTCTATTCGCAGCCGTGGGCGGATGATCAGGCGCAGTATCCGGGAAAAACAAAGCAGGGGCTAATCCATCAAAGGGGGATGAAACACGTTACAAGAGTAGACTTGGGCAGCTGGGAGGATGCTATGAGACAAGGTGAGATACGAGTACGGAGTATGTACGACGCGTTGAGGCTTATAATACCTGCCTGTCCCCATGCAATGTGTAACGCTGCGGCTTGCCTGATAAGATAGGGACACCCCCGCGGCATCATTACACCACCAATAATGCCCGACGCCGGCCTGCTTCTCTGAGTGACGAAGCGATGAGCCTACCATCATTACCACTGAAACCTTGTCTCCTGGGAATGCGCTGCAAGGACTAAAGGTTACGTTTTCACCTGCCGTTTTCCTTCTGTGGAAAGTACTCTGATCGTATCCCGAAATGCCCCAGCTGTTCACCAGCAGGGCTGAGATCAGCTGACTGCACACTTTCCCAACATTGGACCACCAGGGCAGTTATCTAGCGAAAAGCCGAACAGCTCATTACCTACCATCCAACATCACCCCACCTCCAACATGGCATCAAAAAACACAAACCGCTACTCCGAAACAAACAAGATGGCATACGTCATGTGCTACATAGGTATCTCAAAGGGACGTAATCGCGCTATAGTACAAGATGCTTCAAAACGCCTTGCTGTCCCGCACAATCAGTGTAAACAAAGACCTGTTGAGCAATAAAGTCGTAACTTCATGCTTCCTATCATCATGACGCCGAGTCGTACTCTGCCCCAAACACCTTCTTAGCGTCTTCTTCACTCATCTCCTCGCCCTCGTTCATGTCCGTCCACCGCTTCGCTCTGCGTGATCTGTCGACGATCCGGTTCTTGAGTATACATTCACCATTGCCTTGACATATCTCCTGCCGACCCAGGTTCTTGAAACGCGGGCCCAACGGGCCATTGACGTAGTGGTATTGGCCCAAAAACCGGTATTGTCTAGGATCGCTCAAAGGATAAAACTTGTCGCCCCAATGGCCGGCAAAGTAGAACCAAGAGACGGGTGCGGCGGGGTTGAGGTTGGAAGAAACGAGTTGGTCAGATAGGTAGTCGTACTTGAACGAGTACATGTTCATGACAGGATCCCATAGCGGGCCGCGATCGGTTACATCATGGAGTATACCACCCGGCAGAACGTAGGGATGAACACCCGGCGTAGCGTACATGGCGTGGGTACCGGTTGCAGAGAAACCAATGGGCTGGCGATTGTTAGTTTACGAGTTACGTCCGTCACATCTGTCAACTCACCCTCTTCCCACGCTTCTCCACTGCCTCCCACGTATACGCCTCGCCAAAGCTGTGCTCACTAAAGAAGACCGCTTTCGGTTCGCCATGCTGAAACCTAACGACAGTGTGTTCCCAGTCGCCTACGTGGTTTCCGAAACGCACGTTGAAGACTGCATTTCCAAGGTTATAACTGTAGAAGAAGAACCAAAACGCGTCCACCACACCATCGCCCTTATCCACAACAACGAGCGGTACCGGAGCATCACTTCTACCGCCTATGACCCGCTTGCTCGTGAAGCTGCGTCTGCCATATCGTAACTCCGACCGCCATTCCTTGTCGTCGTCGTCATCGGCGTTCACCAGCTCTTCACCTTCGGGCAAGTTAGTGGGAATCGGAAGTCCAGGAGACGTAGACACGGGTCGAATGCCGCCTCGATCCTGGCTATCACCTATGCCCACGTGCCACCAACTGGACTTCTCACCGTCCACGTCTTCTTCGTAATGGCCATCTTGCTCGTCATTCCAGTCCTCATCGTCGTCATTCCCGTCTTCTGGAGCGTTGGGAATGTTGTAATCGGCACCTAGCCAAGCTGGACGATCCTCCACGTTGTCATCGCTCTGCAGATATACGAATCTTCCCCAGCTGTTGAGGTCTTGGAGATTGCTGATGTTCGGGTGATCGTCTATTGCTTGTAGGGGTGTGTAATTTAGGTGCGGTGTCGTGTGTATCAGATGCTCTGCCATGTCACCTGGCCAGTATTCTTCTCCTGAGAAGAGGTGTATGAGCGGCGCGTGGTCTATAACGTATTGTGGTATCTCGCGATCGTGCTCCGGCTGATAATCAGCTGGGATATTCCGCGCATCGTTCCAGAAGTCTGTCAGGTTGATTTTGACGCCATTCTCCAAGTCGACTATCTTCCGATTTTGACCTTTCAAAGAGGTGGTCCATTGTGACTTGTTCAAATGCGACAAGCCACACATGCCGAACCAACGGCAGGCTTTCCGGTCGAACCATGATCGTGACGATGCAACCCATGCCCTTTCGTCTAGCCGCTCATCAATCGGTGTCAAGCTGTCGAAAAGATAGTTTTTGTAGATTTGTGAGAACGTAAAGAGACCGAAGAAGGTGCCCCCCGCGGCGATGGCAGGTGTCCTGCCCTTCATCTGTATATCCTCCTTTGTCAACGACTCGTCGATTGCAACGAGCGGCGTGGAAACTTGCTTAGACGGTTGTTCATGCGGATGTACTATAGGGATAACGATGGTAGGTACGAGATGTCGGTCGGAGGCGTCCCGCGCAGTGTCTGGTGTTTTGGTTGGAGGGCTGGCGGAGTAAACTGCAGCTGGGAGGTAGTCGGGTATGTCAACTGGAAGTATGGATGACGGCGGAAGCGATGACGGAAGGAGGCCCTGGAGAGGGACCTGCCCTCCCCCATGCAGCAAGGGGACGATTAACACTGATTGATCAGCTTAGTTCATATTCAAACAGGAAACGCAATCGGTCTGTGGTGCGCCATGTATAAGATACGAAGCCGATACTGCCGAAGCCTGCCAAAAGCGTGCGCCAACAAGGCGTCGCATCAGCCTCCGAGAGTCAATAGGAGTTGAGCGGATCATCGGCAGCATCATGGCCATTACCGGGTAGCTAGTAGATAGAGGCTTAAATTGAGCTAATCGCAGGCTCAGGGTGGGGAATGTCATGATGACTTGAAGTTGGCATAAGCCAGTGCCAGCTGGCTGGCCGGACGTGTGCGGAAGGCTACTTACTGATTGACGAGATAGCCGGATTGGCGCCGATTTCCGGCTTGCAACATACACAATGTTCAAGGCTTGCAGTCAATAACGGACGCAACAAAAGCAGCACGCGTGAAGTGGGAGTGTGGTGTAGATTGGCGCGTGCTGTGGTATGTTTGATGCGACCACGGGTGTTAGATAGCTGCCGTCACCACCGTCTGGCCTGGCCTGGGCATAATTACGTCGAGCGCCGCTAACGGGGCCTCGGCTGCGATGCCAGATGCGGCTCTCCAGTAACTCAACTTGGCTTCCAGGAATCCAGTATGCCTATTGCGGATTTTGTTAAGTGGGCCGTGTCTGTCGCTTTCTCCACAGGTACTGTGTGCCACATTGTTATAATCATGTCGAGAGTGTTGTAGCGCATTGCGATGAGTGCAGCATGCTTGCGATGCAGGCACTCTTCTCTGCCTAGACTAAGGGGGAGAACAAATCGAAATACCTATACATAGGTATACTTGTATCTAGTAGAAACGTAGGTCCGAAGCAAAGGCATGCCAATTTACATTCTGCGAAAGCATTCGTTGTGTGTTGAGATACTTTGTCATGTAGCCTATAGTAACTAACGGGTGCCTCTCTGCTGTCAAAAAGGAGGGGGATCTGCAACACACTGCACAGTTAGCCTCGCGAGGCTTTCACAAAAGGCAAAAAGAAAGTAGCTGTCTCCGCTCCCAGAATCGAACCTATCACGGGTGTTAGAACCAAGCCTTGAGTTGAAGGCTGTGGCAAGTACTTACTAGGGACCTTTCGATAACAATTGCTATTACAGTCGAACGTGATGAACCAACTACACCAAGCGGAGGACTACGACTGTGAAGCCGTGCTTGATACTGCGATGGAAGATTCTGCAAATAGAATAGTACTTGTATTAGCGCGCGTACCTTTTCCACAGCCGGTCCAGGTCTAGCCCAACCATATTATCAGTGGACTAGCCCCACCCGAATCCTTTGAACGTGCAATTATTTCCGGTTGCCCAAACTCCTCATGGCTACCGCCGACGACGAATGGGAGTACGAGTATCACGAGAGCGAAACGGAAGACTTCTACATCCCGCTCGACCTGTCCAATGTTCCAGCTGCGCAAATTCCGATGGTCTCGCAAGGCAGGCCCGGTCACCCCACGCTGCTCAAGAGTAGACTACGTGCGCTGAACGCAGCGCGAGGCCAACCCGTTGATTTTGCGACTGACACCAGCGATGGGCAGGAGACGGCTACTATGGGCGAGGTGCAAGTCGTCGGCCTGCACACGCCGAATCCGCTGGTCATGTACAATGGCCAGTTGCTGAGTTGCCATTGGACCTCGACTATCGGAACGGATATGTTCTTCGTGAAGCCGGATGCCAACGCCGCGATCCCGTCCCAGCCGCTGCGGTCGCTGCCATCAGTTGATTTGTTGGCTCTAGGCTCCGCCAAGCTGGTTGCGAAAGTTGGACGACTACGACCGCGCGACGATCTCTTTGACGATGCGCTGCAAGCAGCTGGATCTACGGATACTACAAGCGATAATTGCGGTGCCGCAACGACGACTCCCCGTATGGCCGAGTCTATGACTACGGAATCTCAACCGGCCCCTACCAATTTCCTCGCAAGGTTGAATGAGGCGAAAGCAAAGAGAAGGGATAGATCGCGCCTAGCGATAGCGAAGACACCGGGCGGCTCGCGTCTGGTCGCTGAAAAGGCGGTAGATGGCGCGTCACAACCATCTGAAGACGCAGTAATGGGCGGCACATGAAAAGCGCGACTCGAGAACGACGACGCATACTGCGCCTGTGTGTCTGAATGACAAGGCCGATATTGGAGCAGGTCCATGTCTTCAATGGGTGGTTAAGTTGGGAGCACATCGTGCGCACTAAGAACATGAGGGACCAAGTCTCATGCGACGCATATGGGTTAAGTGGTGCACGGCATGGTAGATGAAATGATACCAAATCAAAAGCTCCCATGTCTACTGGCAATATTGTCGCGTGGTGAAGCCGCCGGATAAGGGCTCGCACCTTCTAATTCTCTAAGTTTCTTCCTCCCTTGGCACCTAAACCGTCAAAATCGCACATTCGCCGAGCAGTGCTACCTGCTCTCTCATTCCTCTCCCCTATGTAATCTATTTCATCACTCTCTACCTATGTCACCCCCCTCCCTACCTTCGATGCAGCGACCTCCTTTACCGCCCGCACGCTGCCGGGAAAACAGAGACAGACTGAGCGTTGACATCCTGCCCGAACGAGCAGTGGACACGTCGGGGTTGAACTCTCCAAGTCTGCATTGGCTATTCGGCAAAGAGGGTGATCACGCAACACGTCTTGACGAGGCTCACACCCTGGATGCACAGAATGACGATATGCCATGCGCAAAGACAGAGGCGGCAGTCATGAAGGAAGTCGCAGACTGGCTACGATCGCAAGACTGTCACGACTTTTGGGTACCTAGAACACGGCATCGAAAGGTGAGCTACTCACCAGCAGCGTGCTTGACGTCTCTAACCCGAGTAGATGCTTGCGAACGCGAGTCAACTTCTCGCTCAGTTGGAGAGCGGCGAATACCTGGCTATACCCTCAACTGAGGTGGATAAGTCCGACACCCTTGTTCGTATCATTGCCTTGCAACTGCTTGCGGCTTGCTACACTTTCCTACCAGCCTCGAGCGCAACCCACATTCCTTTATTCCAGCAGCGAAAAGGGCCAACACCTGTCACAGCCTTGCGCCTACACTCGCAGTATCTTCTTTCCCCCGCAGCCGGTCATCAAGCACGCGCTCCTTCAGAGACCGCTTCTTGGCCAGGGCTCCATGACGGTCCATCAGCTGAAGATAAACTGGCGGAACACGTCAGCCACAAGCGTCGATTGCGGAAACGAAGTAGTGGATACATCCCGCAGTTTGTAGCAAGTGGCTGGACAGACGGACCACCGCCAAAACGTCGACGCAGCCATAGACAAGGCTCTCTGTCGCGAGCGAGCTCTAGCTCATCAGAAGAACCAGGCTTCTTCTCGAGGCTGCTGATTTGCCAACCCTCAATACCTAAAAACCCCCGGCGGAAGTACAACACGATGTTTTTGAAACGTATCTCGTCAAGACAGAGGAAACAGGGGCAGTCGCAGTCTGAACACAGCAATTCTCGCCCTCCGACGGAGCGATTTCCTCTTGACGATGTCAGTTCACAACCCGCACAAAGAATACCTTCCACTCATCGCCTTCGGCAAACCCAATCTGCGCCACGGATCGAATTTGAGGAGAGCGCACCTGTCAACAATCCGCACGACGGAAAACGTCACGGCTCAGATCCGTCAATTGGGAGCCCTCTGACGTACCCTTTCCAGATCCCGGAGATACGGCGCACATCAGTCACGCCAAGCGCAGGTTGGCCTCCCTGTTCCGGCTCAGTACGCGCCTGCGGAAGGGGTGATCTCATCGCCATCCAAGGTTCCTCCGATGACACCCCAGATTCTTCCGAAATCACATATGACGAGAGATGGAAGATACCACGTTGGCGGCACCACACCGTTTTACTGTCCTCTCCTAGTCCTTTGGCCTCTAAGAGAGCCATCCCACCCCAGCAAACCTCGGCGAGTGATTACTTTGGTGAAGTTTACACTAACAAGCACATCACGCATCAAATAGACGATCAGGAAGCTGCGAGAGAAGATCACAGTGACACTGGTCCTGAGATCGAGGATGACCCCAGACCACGAAAGATGCTCAGCAACATCGTAACACAACCGAGCGAGAACGAATCGAGCGATAGCGACATGGAGAGGAACAAGAAGCGGAAGAGTATCAATGAGTCAGTGGCGACGGCCTGCGAGGTTGGTGAGTGGTTTCGGGACAAGACAGGGGATGAGATCGACCCATCATTAATCAACCTGCTTTGGTGATGGGCGTAGATTATTGCAGAAGATGTACGTAGCAGAGTTCGAGGTAGTTGACCGATCTGTGGCCAGGATATCGTAGCGAAAAGACGCGCAGCCTCTTCCCTGCCGTAGCCATAGGCATATACCTCGTCCTTGTCCAAGAATCTTCAAAGCATTGCATCGTCCTTGTTTGCATCCGGTCGGTACATCCTATATACCAACGTATCTCTCCAGCCCAACACGGGATTCTCAAAATCCTTCTCCCTCTTTTCATGTAGCCTGAATCCCACCTTGATCAACACATTCTGGCTAGGGACCAACTCAGTATCGGTAAGTGCCTCTGCGTATTCGAACCTAGGTGCCATCCCATTCGCATGCTTATCCCCATGGCCTGCCTCATCCTTCTCATCTCCAACGTCGGCGCATTCGTAACTCGCAATCTCCCGTCCAGAGTAGTGCTTGAAGAATAGCGGCATGAAAGCTCGCAGGGCTTCCGTCGCGTAGCCATTCCCCCAGTAGGCCGCGTTGAACATGTAACCGATTTCTGGGGCGCGAACTGCGCCTATCAGGCCGATGACGTGAGGCCCCGAGTGTGGTGCCAGAAGGACGATGGAGAAGTTCCAATTACCGGGGACTGCATGGCACTGAAAGAGAGTAAGCTATGGGGAAATTCCGAATGCGCAGGGAAGGTACGAACGCCTTGAATCCATGCCTTTGTAGCCTCGATATCGTTGCACGGGAGGAGGCTTGTGTGTTTCATGACCTCGGGATGCCTGCGCATGAGCAGTACATCTGCCGCATCTTCGACGCGTAGAGGCCTGAGCAGCAATCTTTCGGTCCTGGCGAATATCTTGGGATCAACCACCACCATCTTCACCAGCTTCAGCTTCAGCAACAAAGAATGAGAGCAGAGCCATGATGTCGTAGACTGTGTGCTGGTTAAAACCTGATGAGAGGGTGTGTCATGCTCTCAAAGCTCCAGGGCTGAAGTGCCCAAGTGCCTTGCAGCCTATTTCGGCGGCTAGCCGTTCCTAGACACCGACATCTTCCAACTTCGCACCACGGCTGTCCACCACACCGCATCAACGACACAGCAACCAATCACCACAATGCCTTGACTTGTTCCTGTCATCATTCTCGAACCTTCTTCATCGTCTTGGCTCGAATCAAGACCCATACCATGTCCAATTCAATACTATCCGCTTCCGCGAAAGGAGCCACCTTTCTCATCCTCCTGCAAGTGGCTTCTCGAGCACTGACATTCGCTGTCAACCAAGTTCTGTTGAGATTCCTTTCACCGGAACTACTCGGTGTAGCGGCGCAGCTGGAACTCTTCTCGATCTCTGTGCTGTACTTTGCACGGGAAAGTTTACGCGTGGCTTTACAACGACAGGCGCATGGTCCTCAAGCCGTCGTCAATCTCTCCTATCTGGCCGTCTTCTTCGGTACGCCATTGGCATATGTTCTGGCACTGCTGTGGTTTCGCTCCGATACGCCGCATGTTCCATACTTCATGGAAGCTTTGGTTGTGTATTGCCTGGCGATCTTCATGGAATTGCTGAGTGAGCCGGCATTTTCGGCTGTACAGCAGAAGTTGCTCTACAAGGTTCGAGCGTCGGCTGAGAGCTCTGCTACCCTACTTCGATGTTTCGGGACGTGCGGTTCTGCTGTTTTGGCTAGCCGTGCTGGGCTCGACATTGGTGTCTTACCATTCGCTATTGGACAGCTGGCCTACTCTTTGGCGTTGCTTGTTGTGTACTCATACAAGACATGGCCAGTTGCCAAAGCCGATGGCTTCTCTCTCTTCCCCGAGAGCGTACCTTCAACAAGCGAGAGCCCCATCTTGATGAACTACTTCTCCGCTCCTCTTCTAAAACTCACCGCGTCTCTAAGCCTTCAATCAGCATTGAAGTATGTTCTTACTCAGGGAGACTCTCTTCTTATCACGACACTGGCTTCTC